AGAAAAGACCTACTGTAAACCTGTTATCATCATTATTGATAGTGGAAGTTTGAGGTGGACTACGGTCCCGTGGTTTTTCCCACATTGGGTTTTCCACGTTAAAAAGATTTGGTCTCACTGTGTGATTGATTTATTGCTCTATTGTTTATGCTGTGCTGATTGATATTTTCATTTGGATATCAAGTTGGTATTTTGATGAGGAACCTATTTTGATACACAAAGAGGGAAAGAATTATTCCGCATTAACAGGTTTCTTCCCAACAGAACAAACAGGAGCATGGATTAATCAGACGATGCTTCCAAAATATTGCTGGGATATGCCGAGAAAGTTACTTCGTAAGAATCGGCTGCTTCCGGCTATACTTCCAAACATATGCTATATTTTGGGTCCAGGTCATGTCACAATCAATGCCACGCCATGCTACCGCCAAGTCAGCAAGAGGAGCACCCTCACGCACCAAGCCAAAATTCGTACTAAGGCGTTGCTCGGTACGTCTCGTCCCGAAAAGCTCGAGACGACATCATATGGCTCCATTCCACGCGTCCCGGATCGACGATCGCACAAAGGTACCATCTTACCTCTCGAGAATCAGCCTTCACGCCAAACCCACATACGATCGATCCTCATACAGTAGTATAAAAGCTTCTGACTAGCATCCGAACCAGGGAGAGGAAAAAAGAGAGAACCCAACACTAACTTACTTGTCGAGGGGCCACAGTCGGTAATCACCCGACGGGGGCCTTCTATGCAGGAAAGCGATCATCCCCAAAGTAAGATCATCTCAATCGAGAGAGGCGTTTCTCCTCCCGACGTGCCGACCAACATCCCGACAAAGGGCCATCAACTAGCGTCTTGAACGAGAGCCACCAACCAGCTTCCCAACCACGAGGCACCAGCCAAATATTCCAGCGCCAGCATCCCGACCTAAAGGCGTGACCGACCTTAGCAACCAGCTCAAATGACCGAAGACTCCCGACATCAACCCATGGACTAGACCGTGCTGGCTCATTAGCTACGATGCATCAGTTCGCTTGTGTTAATCGCCATACTTCATGGTCAATGATATTTGTGTTTTGACTTCATCATGAGTTGACCATTAGAGAAAGCCAAACGAGCAATGCCTTCTGAAACCTCCACGACAAAGGTGGCGGAAATATAACGCTGACGATCGTCACGTAGAAACTAACTAGAAAGGAAGTAAGCAATTGGGATACGTGCATTTTTTGGGAACTTGACTTATTAGGTTAGGAATCAGAAGACCTTTATGGAACTCAATTCAATAATTGGATCCAACATGTCAAAAAAGTCAATTTAATTGTTCTCAAAATACCAAAATGACTGTTATTAAACTCCCTTCGTTCTATTAGGATCGTTGGGAAAAAAAAAAAGTCCCGTAATATTTATATTTTTATTCTTATAAATTTTGTTAAATATAACACTAATTTTTTTTTTAATATATAACATGTGGTTTGACCGATTGGTTCAGCGATTTGACTTGTGACCTATCCTTTGACCTAAAACTATGAGCAGCGATATTGACCATGGAATAAAATTTCCTTTGCAAAAGTATAAGTAGATGCAAAGCAACGGAGCCGCCTTCACCATTTACCCTTTGCAAATTAAAAATAATAATAATAATATATATTATATAACATGAAGTCTAGTCTATCTTCAATTGGAATTGGATATAGGAAGTCTAATCTATTAAAAAAAATAATGGTACAATATGACTTATGAGTACACCTAAAAGAAAAGGTTGAATTATAAAGTGGATATTGAAATCTAAATTTCTCGAAGTTAAAGTTTGGATGTAATTTGATTAATTTCATATTGAAAGTGGATAAGACTATAATTGACTTATAAATATTTGATAGATATATTATTCTCAATTTTAATTTAAATATTTGACGAGTGATTTGGGTTCAATAAAATTGACAAATCAATTAGTGCTCGGATCATCACATTGGATATTTACTTTTATCGTTTATAAAATTAATTTATAAGGATGTGTATTATTCTTAGTTTCAAGTTAAATATTTTAACCAGTAATTTGGAATCAATAAAGTTAAAAGATCAATTAATCCACCAGGATCACTCACATTGGATCTTTACTTCAAGATTTGTGCTACAATCCTTTTTCTCACGTGTGATAAGATTCAATTCTAACACATCGAATTGATGGATGGATTCTCGATACCAACATGCAGAAAAATAGATGTAATGGCAAAACCATCCCTCCTTTCTCACGATATATTCTTCATATACACCATTTGTATAACCTGATGGGACTTCTTATCTGCATTGATTTATATATATATTCACGGTGAAACTATGTATCGATCTCATCATGCTCGGCTACTTCCGGTATACGCTGCAGTCTCGGCCTCCACTTCCGGCTTCGACGCGCATGGCCGACGACTCCTCTGCTGACGACATCGGCGAGGAGGGCGTGGCGGGGGGCTAACAAGCCTTGTGTGTCAGCGCGCCTCAGCAATTCCTGCAGTTGCTTCCTGGTGATCTTGATCTTGACCACTCTAGAAGAGAGCTCTCCATCCTCTTTTCTGCAATTAGCCTTCTCCTTGAGATTCTCCAAGGCCCTCCTCGCCTTTCCTTGGGTGCACCGCTGGACACTCTCTGGCTCCACCAATCCCCGATCCTCATCGTCCACTGCCGAGGTCACGACCCGGTAGCTGCTGCAATTCCCCATTCTTCTTCGATGAGTTTGTTTGTTGTAACCCAAGAGAGACCGTCACGAGTAGTTGTAAGAAGGGGTTGCATGTTAGGTCTATATATATCAATGCAGGAAGAGGAGGAGTTTTAGGATAAGAGTCGAGGTTGGGGAAGAGCTGATCGATGACATTCATGCACACGTGCCATTAAGCTTCTCTTACTAAGTATTCTCTACTGTGCTGGAATCAGTCAGCAATCTTTTCATCTGTGTTAGGGATTAGTCTGGTCCGCCGTCGGATATGGACTGGGCATGCACCATCTGTGACAATGCGAGAGAGAGAGAGAGAGAGGGGGTTGAAGTCTCGGAGGGCAGTATTTATTGACCTGCACAACGTAACTTGACGAGCCTTCCACCGAGGTTTGGAGCACGTGTCTTACGATCGACACGTGAGATCTAAGCGTCTCTACTTTGTTCTCCATTTTCGTGGAAGGTCTCACAGGCGACTTTGTTCTGCATGACCCCAAAGCTTGGAGAATGGCTTCGACATCTGCATTCGACTGAAGCTCCTCCAATTTTGCATTGAAGAGGTCGACCATGGAGGACCACTGCCTTCTTCCTCGTCTTTTGTCAAGCTCGTTTATTCAGACACTGAAGCGTGTGCAGAGATCATCGGACGGTCTGCAACAGCAGATGGCGGCAATGGGTCGAAGGAGGAGACACGGCGCGGCTGGAGAGGAAGCAGCCGATGACGGAGTGGACCGAGGGGTGGTCGAAGGAGAAGGGGTTGCAGGCAGGCGAGAAGACGATGAGCGCGAGCTCGGCGCCACACAGGAGGGAAAGCTCCTTGACCTTCTTGGAGAGGCCGGCTCGGCGCCCTTGCTCTCGATGCGCTTGAGCTCGATGTATGAGCTCGTCTCCTCCTGCCTGACATGATTGGTAAAGCAATATATCGATCTGTGTGATTTAATATGGTGAGTTAGCGGATGTATAAATGGAGGGAAATCAACCAACGACAGTTTGGACTTTTCAGATTTGGTGTTGGAGAATGAATGTGTGTAGAAAAGGTCGATGTGAAAGCACTGATTTAAAATATTTACATGTTTTAATACAGTGTCGACGGATCAAAGATATAGTGGAATGCATAAATCAAGGAAGTATCAAGTGGTGCATTGCATGCTCGATCGAGTTGCAACCGTTCGATAGCATCTGATTTTATGTAACTTTCCGCCGTGTTCTATTTCGTTCGTTCACGCATCTTCAATTCTGTCGTCGACCGATTCGGAGTTCCCGACATGAACGTCCTCGTCGGAGATGAACTTGCTCCAGAACCAATGCTTCTTCCAGACCAGAGTTATCTCTTCGATGGGTACGCTCTTGGTCTCGGGCAAAAAGAAGGTGATGAAGGCAGTCATGATCGCCACCCACCCGGCGAAGAAGTAGAAGAGGCCAAACTTGAGGTGACACAGAGCGGTCAGAAACACCTGGGCGATCAAGAACGTGAAGAACATGTTGACGGAGACGGTGATGCTTTGCCCAGCCGAGCGGATCTCGAGGGGGAAGATCTCACTTGGTACCAACCACCCCAGAGGCCCCCATGACCATGCAAAGGCAGCAACGTAGAAGCAGATGAAGAGCACTATGATGCTGGCGTAGTTCTTTGTTACATCGGTGGCCACACCGCTGATCCCAAACTTGAACGCAATTAGAGTTCCGACCAGAAACTGCGCCACAAATCATTCCGACATTAATCATCTGCACAATCGACGAATTTGTGAAGTGATCGATCCAGAAATGATGCCTACCTGAGATAAGAGCATTTGTGTGCCTCCTTGCAAGAAGAGCGCTCGGCGTCCAAGCTTGTCCACGGTGGCGATCGAGACGAAGGTGGCGAAGACGTTCACGATGCCGGTGATCACTGCCGACGCGAGGGAGGCCTCGCTGCCGAAGCCGATGGTTTTGAAGAGCACGGGAGCATAGAACATGATGACATTAATGCCGGTGAGCTGCTGGAAGAAGGGGATCAGAATGGCTATGGTGAGCTGCGGCCTGTACTTCCTCTGCAATATGTTGGACCAAGGGTGGTCGACGCTCTTGGCCTCATCGCTGGCCGCCACGAGGTCGTCGTACTCGTCTCGGACGTCTTCGGTGCCGCGGATTTTGCGGAGCATGGCCTTGGCCTCTTCGTCGTGGCCGCGCTCGATGAGCGAGTTGGGAGTGTCGGGCAGCACCAGCGAGCCGATGGTGATGAAGAGGGCCGGAACCGCGGCGAGCCCGAGGCTGACGCGCCATCCCCAGCCACCTTTGATCGAGGCTGTCCCGTAGTTGATGAGGTTGGCGGCGAAGATTCCGATGGTGATCATGAACTGGAAGCCGATGTTAAGAGTGCCCCGGAGATCAGCAGGTGCCATCTCGGAGAGGTAGAGCGGCACAGCCTGCACGCAAGCACACGACAGAGCAGAGCACAGTCAAGAATACCGGGTTGCGTCCCGACTCGTACAGGGATGATTCTCTTGGAGCAAATAAATCGATCGTTTTGCCTGATTCGCGAAGCCAATGCCGATGCCGAGGAGGACACGGCCGAGAATCAACATCAGGACGTTCATGGCGGCGCAGTTGATGGCGGAGCCCAGCAGAAAGGTTATCCCTCCGGCGAACATGGACCACTTCCTCCCGAACATCCTCGTCACCGTCGACGCAAGGAAGGATGAAAGGAGGGCGGCCACATACAGAGAGGACGTGAAGAGCGTCAGCAACTGGCTGTCGAACTTGCAGTATTGGTTGGTGCTCGAGTCTGCCATCTGCTTCTTGTAAACCGACGGAAAGAAACGCGAGAGGAAGGAATCCATCGACGTCACTCCACCTTCAACCACACAGGAGGTATTGCGTTAGATGAAGCCCCATGTTTTTAGCAGAGTAACCATGCTCCGTTAGAATCGAATACAGGAGGACTAAGATAAGGATAAATGTACCAGAAATTCCAATGTCATAGCCAAAAATAAGGCCGCCGGAGGAGGCGACGATGCAAGTCAGGAAGACGAAGAGCGTCATCTTCCCCTGGTGCTCCTTGCCACCGCTCGTGCTCACGAACTCTCCGACCGCCACGTTATCCAACATCCAGCTTCTCTCTTCGGCTTAAGAAACAGACAGAACGAAGGTGAAGAGGGGTGGAGGCTTCTCGATGCTCTGAGTCGAACGAGGTGGACGTACTTATAAAGGTGCTCGAGGCTGTTATTCTTCAACGGATTACGTCAAATTCGATTACTGCGGATTGTGCTATATGTGTGTTGGATTTGGTTGTCTGCCCGCATGGATTACAACTTCCATCTCTTCTTTCGTTTTCCGAAAAATATTATCTTGTTGGCGCAACTGTAGGATTCACAGGTAACTGTTTTCCTTGTTCCGATCTCCATCTTCGGTTTTGGAGCAACTCGACATTATTTGTACAGATCGAAAACTCAAAATAGCTAGAAATGTCAACTTCTTATGTGATATAGCAATAGAACTCCCCCTCGTGGTGTTGGTGAACCCTTACGTCGTCGCTGAGATGTCAGCACGGTTTGGTCCGGTCCCAGATGCGTAAGGTCGCCCACGTTGATACTCGGGTGGTGAGGGTGAGCGTCGAGTCGGGTCGGGTTCGAGCTTCATCCCCTGAGCACGGTTTTCTCTCTTGACGAGCGGTCTGCTTCTTCGTCGTTGAGCTCCTGCACACAGGTCAAGGTCGGGAGGGGAATTTCTCGACTCGATCCCTCTGAAGCTTAAGTTAGTTTTAGATGAAATGATGGAGAATTGAGTGTTTGAAGTGTCTCCCTTCCTGATTAGAAAGGGTTAGCTTTTATACTTGCAAGAATGAGTTGGTCGTACGGGGTCAATTTACTGTGGTCGACTCCTCGAGCGACTGACTGTACGAGCGCCGATCGACCTACACGGATCGATGCTGCGCGATGCCGTCCCAAGCTTTTCAGGGTGGCTATACTGTGATGATATCGTCGTTCTTACGGAGGGGGTGGCAAGCGACTGCCCGTCACATGTGTATTGTATTGTGCACCACATCGTACTTGAGGTTCCACGTCTGTATCGTCGTGTCTGCTTGCTTGGGTCCATGTGGGCGATGTCAAAATATGTCATATCAAGTGGAATGTGTATGGTCATATGCATCCGGACATGGTGAGCATAGCATTGTGCAAATAAAATTATAATTTTTTATGTTCTTTTCATTTTTTCTATGCTTTAAATAATATCACTAGATGCAAATATATATATATATATATATATATATATATATATATATATATATAT